TCTGTGTTTTCCGCTCGCATACATGCATATGTTGACACCAGGGCATCAGTTCTTTGGAGTATTTGAAGCAGCTGGGGCAGACATAGAGACGATCGACTGCAGGTGGTGATGTACCCCCTGTGGCCTGGCCCTTGGCACCCGCCTCTTTGCTGCCAGTCTTGGCTAGATGGTGCGATGACTCACCCAGCACTTCCTTGCCGTAACAGCTAGGGTACCACGTGCTGAAACACATATTACCCAAAACTACTTTGTCGATATTGCGGTCGGTTCGGAGAGGCGGGCGTACTGAAGGGGCCACAGGAGGCTTTGGAGGGTGGACTGGTGTAACTGTAGGCGGCGGCGGTCGTTCGAGGATACGCGGTGGTTGCGCTGTGGGGCCATGAGGTCGGACAAGAGCTGAAGGTCGTTGCAACGAGTTGCTATGTGAATGAGGGACATGATATGTAATTTCAGGCGCTACCAGATCTGAAAGCGGACGCCCGCCTGCAGCGGTAGGTCGTGGTGGTGGAACGGCCGTCATTGTCGATGAATGGGTAGGGGAAGGTGCCCTTATTGCTGGGCCTGGTTGTTCAAGCGGAGCCCATCGCAGTACAGGAGGAGACGTTTGTGACTGTGTTTGCGCCTTGTTTGGGGCGGTAGTACTGGATTGCGCCTGAGACGGCTGAGGACGAGCTGCTGAGGTACGATTGCGCTTCTGTTCAGGAGAGACTGTTTTTGGAGAACTTGATAATAACGGCGGTATTACAGGCGGCGGAACAGCAGTTTCTGTACGTTGTTGAGGTTGAGGTTGTGCTGGTGATGCTGGCGGTAGAACCGGGGTTTGACGCGTCGCCCTACGCGCGACGGTGGGTTTAGCTTGAGGATCGGAAGAGGTCGGTTTGGGTGCGGAGGCAGAAGCAGAAACAGAAACAGAGGCGGATTGCGATTGGGATTGGGATTCAGCGGGGTCTTGGTCTCCTCGCTTGCGCTTTTGAGGCATCGCTGTGCGACCCTCGACTTGAACAAGAATATGGTTGAGAGCAGCAATTAAATCGGTACCAGTAGGTAACTTAAGGATGCGCCAGGACGTATTGGGATGCGGTCTCAGTTTAGATCGAATGTCAAGTTACGGTGTTGGAAGAGAATTGATTGGTTTGCCAGAAAAGGCTCGTATTATTATTTTGAATATTTCGTATATGAGTTGTTGAAAGAGCGAATAGAGTCATTCAATTAGATAGTTCTAAGTATAGATAGGTAGGCAGGAACACATGATATGGTTGAGGCATAGACTGTGACTGTGACTGGGCTGGGCTGCGGGCATAAAACGCGACGCGGGGACGGACGGACGGTATGCAACAGGTGCAGGTGCAGTCAGTGAATAATCGACGCCATCACGTGCGGGTCTTTCCATGTTTCATCTTGTCTTGTCTCATCTTCTGAAGCAGCCGCAACCAGCCGCAACCAGCCAAAAGCTTACAGATTTGGTGTTGAGGATCCCTCTAAATCACCTACAAAGCCAATCACTGATTCAGAAAAACACCTAACCTCACAAACTCAAGCTGGTTTCAGTAAAGCAATTCATTCTCAATTTGTGTTGTTACCACTACAGTACTATATATAAAGCATATTGGCGGGAAGGACTGACTACTATTTCTCTGCTATTCGACTTATTCGATCCAGGTTATTTGAATAAAAGCTCTCGCTCTTATGCTCAGCGCAACTCCAATCAGTGACGCTTCAAGGAGCAGCTCGGCGCATGAGCACCCATAACTCGCTCCAAGGTCTCATCGCCCTCCTCCCAGTTCTTGATAAGTGTCAAGAGTCGGCGACGAGCAAGGCCGGCGTCACGATTTCGGTACACACTATCGATTTTGCGCACATCAGTCTTGTCACTGATAAGCCATCGTCGCTCCTCCTCCATAAACCGGTTGTACGACACATCCTCGCCATATCGGGCCTTGACGTTGGCAGTAAGGTGTTCCTGCACAGCCTTGTTGAGCTCGATCTGAGGCTTGGTCTGCTCAGCTGGATTGGCGAAGCGTGTGTCGACGGTGGGCTTGAAGGTTGCCGGTTTCAAGGTTGGGTCTGGAAGAACCGAATAGGCCGTAAAGCAGACGAGAGTTGAGCTCTTGAGGACTGCTTCAGATATGACCTTGAGTGCTGGGGGTGTCATGGGCATGTGTCCAAAGTTGATATAAGCCAGAGGGCTCTTGGCCTGAATCAGTTGCTGAATGGCCGGCACAGCTCCATCCTCGATGTAGTTGTAAGCCTGTCCGAGATCCTCAGTGGCATAAGCCTGGCCAAGATCAAACACCTCGAGTGTGGGATGCCCGGTAGCAGCCTTGCAGAGCGCCATGGCACCTTTGGTGCTGACTCCAATCGACTGTAAGAGCAATCGAGCCAGATACGGTGCCTTGGGCAATGCTTGAGCTAGGGCATCTGCACCATCATCGCCAAGAGGGTTCGATGATGCATAAATGGACGTTAAGCCGCAGTGCGGCGAAAGAAGGAACTTGCCAATAGCCTTGGCGCCCTTGGCCGATATTCCACTACCATTGAGGTAGATATGCTTGAGAGGTAGTTTGGCACCCTCGGGCATCTTATGGTCAGCCAAGCGGCTGAACAGGTCTGCAACTCCCCGATCACCCAGTTGGGTCTGATCAAGGTCGAGGGTTCGCAAATTCTTGACGCCAGTGATGAGGCGATACACATCCTCCGAAGCGTCTGCACCAAGTGGGTTACGCTTAAACCAGAGATTGGTGATGGCCTCGGATTTGACCATGGCATCGACTAGAATCTTGAAGCCTGGGCCGTTGATGCAATTTCCGGCGAGGTACCAAGTGTCCATCCGGTCAGGGAGGTCGGTGATGAAGTTGGCGATCTCATGAGCACCAACAGGGCCGATGATGTTATTGCCCAGAAGGAAATGTCGGACAAACTCGTTAGGTCGGAGCGAGTCCATCAGCTTGCCAATGTGATCAGGGCCAACAACCATTTTGCAAAGATCCATACGACCATCTTCATAGACGACACCTTTGCGAAACTCGGCGCCTTTGACACCATAGTAAGGCTCGCCTCGTCCACCATCGAGCTCGAAGCCCTTCTCATGGCCATCCAACTCAAAGGTACCGCCGCTCTCAAGATGGTTCAAAAACGGTGCCAGATCGGCCTCGTGAGCGATCTCGACCGGCATAGGGATGGCCTGCACACCGTCCAGAGAAATCGGGCGGTTAGCAGGGTCCCAAACACCCTGAGACAGAATACGAGAAGCCCAAACAGGCGCTTGCACGCCGGGAGCCGCACCGCTGGACAAGCCCAGGGTGGTATGACCGTTGCGAACAGTGGCTCGCAGGATGTCGTATCGTCGTTGCAGGGCGGCCCAGGCGCGAAGGCGTACACGATCAGCATCATAGCGGATGATGGCTGTCAACGAACCCTCGTGCACAGGGTAAAGCATCGGGGCCATAGCTACAGCCAGGTTGTGCCGAGCAGACTTGCGGCGAGGAAGGTCATGGAGAGCATCGTCAATTCGGTGCTTGTCCAACGGCAGGGCAATGATCTCATCTACAGTAAATGGATGAGATGGGTTGAAGCCAGGTAAGTGCTGCTCCAGATCAACGAGACTCTTTCGGCAGAGGCGAGCAAGGTGGATTGCCTCGTCCATGTCTACCGTATCGGAGTGTTTGGCTGGCGGAGGTGATGCTATTGCATGTTGAGGTGGCATTGAGAATGAGGGCGGCTCAATAGGTCGTAGTTCAGTAGCGGTAGACATGTTGGATTCGTGGATTTGGATTCTGATGATAGTGTTGAACTTGGCGTCTTAGTGAATATGGCTTATACCAGTGGTAATGCACATATATATAGCTAGTTGTAAATGCAGGCTGGTATACCGAAAGTCAACACCATTCAGCCTTACAGGCGGATCCTGATGTCTACTGCCAGGGTCCCGTCAAAGTCATGTCAAGCGCAGGGCGTCTAGGGCTTTGATGCCAATTCTTGTTCCCACCTAATGAGTCAACCTTGAGCTTTGATCCATGCTACCCAAGCCTTCTATCAGTTTCTATTGGCCTCTTACAAGGAATATACTGGCTTCTCATACCAGAGGTCCAAATCTGTGGCTGTGTGTCAGGGGATCGGTCTTGATATCGGTGAGATTCAAGCGGATGTTTAAGATCAAGATCGTGGCTCAGCTAAGACTTGGTGTAGGCAACGACATGGAAGACCCACACCTGTCGATATAAGGGCGTGAGATCGACATTTTTGTAGTAATAGATCATATATCCGATGGTATGCCTAGCCGGATATTCTTTTGTACTGCCATCTACATTGTACCTTTGGTGTTTCGATGCTTGTGACTGGTGCCTCGGTTGTTATAGTAGAAATGGGCGACAACTCCATCGTTACTCGAGGTCAACGTTTCTACTCAGTAGCAACCACAGCACTGAGAAAGAAAGACACAGACATCGAAAATACTATTAAAGAGGGGGTTTAAGCTTCCTTAATGTTATTCCAATCTCAAGTGTGTAGACTGACTTTGGTTCGATTTCGGAAATGTTTCCTGAGCTTCAGGGTAAGAAGATTCGCAACACGAAAACTCCATCCTCATCCTCGTCTAAGTCTTCTCAGCTTTGTCTGGACCTACCCGCCTACATTTAAACGGCGCAACTATGAATAAAGATTTATGCCATTACCACATGAAATGGAAACTACCACAAAATGAAGAAACAAGAACAGCATTGATAAACAAACAAAACAGTCAAGGGCAGCAAAAAAGAAACAACATGAGGAACACCGGATTTGAACCGATAACCTTCAGGAATCCCCAAAGAAGCTGTTGGACAGCTCACTGGAATCTGACGCGCTACCGTTGCGCCAGCTCCCCAAGTTTTGATGTATGAGGCAGCTGTAAACTGGCCTCAAATGGATACGATTTCAAAGAATCCTTGCTGTGAAAAAAATGTTTGTTGGTAGTTAAACAGAGGAAAAAAAGAAATGGCGTCTTGAATAGACGGGTTTTGATGTGAGGAACACCGGATTTGAACCGATAGCCTTCAGGAATCTCCTACAACTGCTGGGTAAGCAGTGCACTGGAATCTGACGCGCTACCGTTGCGCCAGCTCCCCACTTGTTGTTAAAAGCTCAACTAATTGATTGCATATACCTCGCACAACAAAGAGCTCAGCTCAACTTCAACCATCCGATAAGTCCCAACACACGGAAAGCAGAATACCGTAGAGCATGCAGTAACATACCACGAGGGAATGTACAGAAAAATACTAACACTCTGCCTTGCTCGAGATTATATTGCCATAACACACCAAGACAAGATACAGCCTCAGCATAGGTAGAGGTAGTTATGCAAAGGCATATAGCCTACGTCCACCATACAGAACTATCCAGTAGAAATCACCGAAGAGAACCTCAACGCAAACATAGAGAAACCGAATTCATAATCTAAAATTCAACCCCTCTGTACCAAGCATTTAATACATACATGAAGGTCATGGTCAAGCCTCCATACCTTCAAAAACCTTCCCTCCTTCTATCACCAAATTCCAGCAGACAACCACCATCACTCTAAGCGCCAAGCGGGTCATAAGTAGAAATTACAGCTAAGTAAGGCTGACGCTGTCGGCAAAGAGAAACTCTATGCTTTATCAAGGGCAGATCATGTACAAGCTCTACCAACTTAGATGCCGTCGAAGTCACCGCCGAGGTCATCCTCGTCCAAATCTCCCTCCTGGATTTCCTTGGCCATCTCGCGCTCGCGCTCCCGAGCCTCCTGGGCATTCTTCAGCTCCAAACGATGTTGGTTCATGGGAAATCGCATTGCCTAAAGGGAAAATGGTTAGCTTGATTCAGTTGTGATAAAGTCTGGGAGAACAAACCTTGACACTCTCATCGTGGAGAGCTAGACAAGCCCGGATTCGGTCGTGGAAAGCCTCGCCGGGCTCACGGGTAGCATATACATCACCAACCTCCTTGCTCTTCATGAAACCCCTCTCGCGGTCCAGAGTAGCCTCAATCACACCATCACGAATGGCCTTGGCAACAATGTACTCCGCCGACTCCTCACTACCGAGCTGGAGACGGATGCAGATATCGCGAAGGGAAATGCGAGAGTAAGATAGAGACATCATGCGAATACCTGTCTTGATAACGTTTTGTCGTAGACGCAGAATGAGGCTGTAAGTACCGTCTCGTCGGAAGGTATCGGCATGATCAGCGATCGCTGTCTCAAAGTCCTCAAGGTTGCCAACTCTGACCGACTTCACCAACAGGAAGTAAGGCTGGAGAGCGGCCTCCATAGTTGGCTGACGGAACATAGCTCGATCAGGAATATCACCCATCAACAGCTCCACAACGTAAAGTAGCTTGGTTGCTGTCTGAGCGAAGCCAAGGGCGCAGCTACTGGAAGGAGCCTTGCGGGTGGCAGCAGTGAGATGCTCGTGGGCCTCAGTGTAGCGGAGCTGGATGGCGCGGATACGACCAAGGTAGTAAAGGAATCGCGCTACCTGGTTGTTGACAGCGTTCTCAGGGAACTGGGTGTGCGAGACGAGGAGATCAGCCTGGTTAATGTGCGAAGTAGAGAGATAGTTTCGCAGCAAAAGGACGATAACGGAGGCTTGTGTGTCGACATCCTTTCGTAGCACAGCGGTGCGAAGGGCGGCGAGGAGAGTAGGTCGAATGGCGACGACGGGAGACTGAGGAGAAGGAGGCAGAGGGGCGATCTGCTCGCAGAAGACAGAGTAGTAGAAGTAAACCTTAGCAGACAAAGAGTCGAGTGTGCGGCGGTTGAGAGACTGGACTCTGTCTGAAAGGTACTTGGAGAAATCAGCTCCACGCTGGAACTGCTTTGAGTCGAACAGGTAAACTTGGACGAGGATACCGAGGAAGATATCGATCTCAGGAATGAGGTCCTTAGCCTCCTTCTTGGAACCGTTCTTGCCAGATGTCTTGGCCTCGTCGACTTCCATCTCTGAACTCTGTCGGCCAAGAGTAACATCCTCGCGCTCAATGGCAGCCAGCAGGGGCTTGACAATAGCACTCGAGTTGGCGGTAGCAGGGAAAGCCTCAGAGATGACCTGGGCAATGATATCGGGTGTCAAACGCTTGCGGATAATAGAGATAGATCGCAGGGCGCGGAGGGAGAATCTGGCGTCGAAGAGGGCCACGGCGCGGTCTATCAAAGCAAAGTTGCTCTTAATATCTGTTAAGATACTATGTTAGTGCTTGTTCTAGGGGACCTTGTTGAGCTCCTACGAGCTTGCTACTCACCTGCGATAGTCTGCACAACAGGGTCAACCTTGACCTCCTCCTCTTCCTCCTCCATTGACACATCGCCTTCAGCATCAGCCTTGTCAGACTTTTTCGACTTGGAGGGAGGAACGACAACAGTCATCTCTTCGTCGCCATCCTTGGCAGGCTTCTTGCCCTTGGGCTTTGTGCTGTCCGTCATCTCAACGTCCTTGTTTTTCTGAACGTTGTTGTTGCCGGCAGGCTTCTTGCCGTTATTGTTTGGTGCCTTGCTGGGCGGCATGGTGAATATCTATGTATGATGCGAAGAAATGAGGCTGAAACTGTCGGAGCAGGAGCTGCAGATGACGATAGTGGGAGAAGACCGAGTCGTGCGCGCGCCTCAACTTGTCGCAGCGTTTGCGTAATTGAGTTTGGAGGAAGTTGGCGATAGCAGTAAACGAGATACTGGGGGTGCGGGTACGAGATCGGTGTCGAGGAGGGAGACCGGCGAAAAGGTCAAGACAATGATCGTCGTGGTGTTTGGTAATGAGATTGGAAGAGGTTCAAGGTGATGCTGCTGCTCGCTGCTTGGTGCTAGCTCACCAAATGGGGACCGGGGCTTGAGTAACTGGCCAGTGGACAACTGAGGCGACAACGGAAAGAGACTGAATGGGCAGTAAAGATACCTGGCTCAGGCGGTGATCTAGCTGCACAGGCAGGTACCGCCAAAGTACTCGGGAACTAGGGCGTTACCTTAATAAGCTGGCATTCTGTGGGGCACGAGCAGTGACGTCTCGATGTTGCCTGCAGCTAGTGTTTTGCACAAAGTACAAGGTGATGTTTATGCAAGCTTATACAGAATGTGCAAGACTCATCAGCTACATGATAAGAGAATCATAACCATTGAAAGTCATGATTTGACTGAGGACCAGGCTTGTAGCTCTCATATATATCTATAATTGACTTTGTAACTTCACCAAACCTGATGTACAAATGTTAATTCGTAATGAACAAATAACGAGTGTCAACGTCCTTACTTCACGGCGTACAGTCGTTTGATATTACAACATATATGCAGCCACTGTCACAAGTAGAGTGTAAAGTCAACAGTGGAGGTTTCGTTTATTGGTCCTGTAGTTGATACCAGCTATTTCAGACGCTGCTTTTTTCTTCTCCTATGCATTCTGGTACAGCTTCTAATTAAAAAAAAAGCATCCTCCATACCGGGTAAGAAATCCCTATTACGCCAGTTTGTCCCGGGTATACACCCAACGCCTCTTGAGAAATACAAAATACCCTGCATTGCTTTTCATTTTCTTCTTGTTTATCCGGGTTTCTCTGGTTGACCACATCTTTTCCATGTTGCAAAAGGATTTACTCGCCCTTACCGGGCATAACCTTGGCAGCCTGGACTGCACTCATCTTCGCTATCCAAGCTGTGGATGGCATAATCTTTCGGACGGTGCGGAGTTCGTCAGATGAGTAGCCGGGCACACGGATGTTGTAGGTTCGCTCCAGCACAAGTTGAATATCGCGGATCTCGAGCACCTTAGACCCGCGCTCCTTTGAGTTTCGACAAGCCGCATGCAAAACGCTGTCAACAAACGAGTCTGCCATGTTCAAAACGTTCTAAAATCAAATTAGTCATTTTATCTGAGTTACAGGAAGCGATGGCGCTTACCTCTTCCACTTCAGGGGTGAGTAGGTTTCCGTCCTGCCCTTCGGCTGGTCCTCCACACACTTGGCGGACAAGCTCATCCAGCTTCTTCTTGCTTAAAACGTGATCTCCCTCAGCTTCATGGTTATACGCTGGGATTCTAGCCATCGCAGGTTGGTTCATGACACCGCCGAGAGTTCCGCTTCCTTGAGACATTGTAGGGCGACCGGCGTTAACTCCGCCTCCGACAGAAACACCTTGGGGCACAGCAGTGGCCTTCTCAGGAAGCACCTTGGGGATGGGCATCTTGGATTGCATTGGGGTTTGTTGAGGCTGCGGGGGATGTGCGTGAGGATGGCCTTGTGGAGTAGGTTGCTGAGGAACATTAGGCCCCATAACGCCTTGATTCACAGCGCTGCCTGGTGTTGGTGTTCCAGCTTGGGCAGGGCGTCCAGGCACCTGCGCACTTCCAGGAGTGTTGAGAGTTTTGTTAGCCATCTCAATAGCAGCAGAGTGACTGAGAGCTCGCTGAGGGCCCTGAGGACCTTGCGCTGTCGTTGGAGCCGCTGCGGCAGCAGCCTGTTGCGGCGTTGGGATCCGCGGAGCATTCTGCTGGGTTGGTGTTCCAGCTTGTGCTTGCACGGCTGTTTGTGACATCGCGGGGTTAATAGGGGCAGTGCCAGGTTCTTGTTTGACCTGGACTGGTGCCTGTGGCAGTTGTTGCTGGCCGGGCTGGGGAGTTCCTTGTGCCGGGCGCACTTGCGTTGGTGCCGCTCCTTGCGTTCCGTTAACAGGGGAGGCTCGACTCACGGCTGCTAACTGTTGTTTGGCAACCTCGACAGCAGCGTTTACAGGTGGAGCGTTATTCTGGTTGTTGTTTTGAACCTGAGATGTTTGAGGCTGAGTTTGAGGGGCCTGTTGTTGCGACTGTTGCGGTTGAGATTGCTGTTGTTGCTGCTGGGGTTGCGACTGCTGCTGCTGGGACGCTTGTTGCGGTTGCTGCTGCTGCGTTTGACCCTGTGGCTGTTGTTGCGTTGCAGTCTGTTGACCTGCAGCAGGTTGCTGATTTCCTTGCTGGGAAACCCTCGCCGCGTTTTGCGCCGCTTGTGCCTGTGCTTGGCCAGTGCCTTGCAGGTTACCTTGCTGCTTTCGCACGCTGTCAACCCACTTGTGAGCATCGGAATGCGCCTTCAGTTGTTGGTCTTTCCTAATCTGAAGTTGTCTCAT